GAATCTTATGGACATTCTCTTCCTTCCATTCCAGTCAAACAGGTTGACCCATTGTTAGACATTCAAATCACTCCGGCTTCTGTTGCTAAAGTCATATCTCAATTAAACTCGTCTACAGCTTGTGGTCCAGAAAACATTCCTGTCACAGTCTTGCAGAATTGTTCTCCAGAACTTTCTTCAATTCTCTCTAAACTATTTAACAAGTGTTTGACTGAGTCTTGTTTTCCTGCTTGTTGGAAAATGGCATCTGTGGTTCCAATATTCAAAAACTCTGGAAAAAATTCTGACCCCTCCAATTATCGTCCGATCAGTCTTCTTTCTGTTATTAGCAAGGTCTTTGAGTCTTTGATCAACAAATTTCTCACATCTCATCTTGAGTCAAATAAACTACTGTCAGACAATCAATATGGTTTTCGATCCTCTCGCACTACGGCCGACTTGGTAACTGCTGTAACTGAAAGATTTTATTGTGCATTAGATGGAGGCGGTGAGGCTAGGGCTATTGCTCTCGACATATCTAAAGTTTTCAACAAAGTTAGGCATGCTGGTCCTCTCCATAAGCTTGCTTCATATAGTGTTTCTGGGTAAGTTTTTGAGATTATCAAATCTTTTCTTTCTGACTGGTTTATTAAAGTCATCCTTGAAGGCCAACACTCTTCTTTATTTCCAGTAACTTCTGGGGTTCCCCAAGGTTCCATCCTGGGCCCTGTTTTGTTTCTTATCTACATAAACGATCTTCCTGACAACCTTTCATCTAAAGTAGCTCTTTTTGCTGATGACTCAACTTTATACTCCTGTCTTGACAAAAAGTCTTCTCTTTTCGATCACCTAGAACAAGCAGCTGATCTTGAATCCGATCTCACTTCAGTAATAGATTGGGGTTCACAGTGGCTTGTGAATTTCAACTCTAAAAAAACCCAGTTGCTTACTACAAACAACTACCGTAATATGGTCAACATTCCTATATTAATGAATGGCAATCCTCTTACTCCTCTTTACGTCTTCTTGGATTTTTGCTTACTACTGACCTTTCATGGAAACCATATATACAATCGATTGCTAAATTAGCTTCTGCTAAGGTTGCTTCTCTTTATCGTGCTCGCCATTTCCTTACTTCTGATTCCATTCTCTACCTCTACAAATCTCTTATTCGTCCCTGTATGGAATACTGTTATCATATTTGGGCTGGTTCCTCTAACAGTTCACTTTCTCTTCTTGACAAGGTCCAAAATTGCATTGTAAATGTTGTTGGACCTGGACTTTCTGCTAAGCTTGAACCTCTTTCCCATCGTCGTAAAGTTGCATCTCTTTCTCTTTTCTACAAATACTATCATGGTCACTGCTCAAAGGAGTTATCATCTCTAGTTCCATCAACTAAAATTCATTCTGGTTTTACTCGTCATTCAGCTAAGTCTCATTCGTTTACTGTATATGTCCCTGCATGCTCTAAAAACTTTTATTCATCTAGTTTTTTTCCCCGCACTTCAATCCTTTGGAACTCTCTCCCATCTTCATGTTTTCCTGACTCATACAACCTTCAACTTTTCAAGTCTTCTCTCAACCGCTTCCTAGCTCTATAACTCTGTTCTTTTTTATATATATATATCAGGTCTTGTTAAGAAGCGTTTCCTTATTTGAGTTTTACGTACTTATTTACGATTTCACGTACACGTTTCACAATTTACGTTACGCATATACCTTTTTCAATAAGTTTATTTTAAACAGTCTTTTAAAACCGATTAAGTGAAAACATTAAACTGTAATTAATTCTTGTAAAAAAATGTTTCTGGAATATATTTTTTTTGTTAGATAAAAAAACAGATTGATATCCTTTTTTCTTTGTTTAGTTTTAAAAAAAAAAATTATAATTTATTTTATTAAATTTGAATAAATTTTATTATTCATAGTTTTAGTAATTTATTTAATTAAATTTAATTAAAATTCTTTTAAAAGTTTAATAACGCTCCGTTTTACAGTTTTTTTTACTTACAAAATTCCAAAATTTATGTTAAAGTAAAAAAAATATTTAATAAATTTAATTCAAGTAACTTTAATGTTCGCATTACATATAACTTCATTTGAATTTCAGTTAAGTTTCAGTTAAGTTCTAATTCTAAATACTGGTCTAAATAATGTGCTTTTGTAGTTAATAAATGGCGTCACACAAAAAAGATCTTTCAAACTCAAGTTTAAATGTTGTTTAGGTTTTCCCTTTGCCGTTAATTTTTATGCTGTAGAATTTTTTTTATATTACGAACCAAACTTTAAACTGAATAAAAATAACACAATCAATAAATAAACTCTTTAAAAGCCCAACTTATATTTATTTTGTTTTTAAAACAAAACTAATACTAGTGTTATAGATATAAGATGCTTAAATTTTAAAATTATACTGATATTTGTTAAAAACAATTTCTGCTAATAACATCTTATAACTGAAAATATTTTCTTTTTGGATTTAGTAAAAAATAGTAAAAATACTTTAAGTTTCACGGTACAT